CCTGCTCTTGATGCACACTTGTCTCATTAGGAATTTTTGGTATATCAAGTGTCATGGTTGCTAGATTTTGATTTCCTATTACCAAATGTTTGTTTTTCTTTTTAAAGGTTTCTAGAATGCTTCCTGGGGGCTTACTAGTTCTTGGTGTATTTATTATTGCCACTCCAGAACTGTCAAAAGATAGTCAAAATGCTTTGCGCAAGGTAAGTAAACTTCCTCGTAGAAAAACAGAAATATCTTTAGGTTTGTAGCTGGGTGATTTTCTATCATTGGCTTGAGTATATATGGTTGTTTTGTTGCTTTATTGCCAAAACCACAAATGCTCTGGTTTGATGAGGGTTTCGAGACTGAAACCTCAGAAATCACTGTCTGGTGAGACTGTGTTTGCTAACTCTGCTACTTGTAATGTTTGTTACTGCCGTAGCAAATCTTTCTCTTATTGACTGAAAGCAGACATTTGTGTTTAAGGAAAAAGTCTCCAAGGTTTACATTAAGCTAAATCCTTGTGGCACAATCGCTAATGACGGTAACATGTTAGGGTTTTTTTTGTCTGGACTAGTTGTTCAGATTAGAGGTGTTTACAAGAGTGCAAGATCTATAGGTCTCATTCCTTTAAAAGGAATATCTTATATAGATCTAGTAGAATTTGACGCTGGTGTACTTAGAACATGCTACTGTGTGATAGACTTAAAATGAATTTTTATTGCAGCATTGGTGCATCTGGTGCAGTGTTTAGTTCTTGTTCTGTAGGTGGAGGTTAACTTTATAATTTTCATAAGGTAGGCATGATAAGTGATTTGAACATGAGGCGGTTTTGAAGCTTAAGGTTTTGGCAGTAGAGTGTAATCACATCTCAATTGTGATTACTGAAACTAGTAGCCAACAAAAAAAGGTGAGCTGTTCTGCAGGTGATTGCTGAACTAAAAATTATTTTTTAATTGGTAGTTACTTAGCACAGCTGTCTTAGCCAATCCTCAACTGATAGGCATACAGCTGTAATATTTTTTGTAAAGAAAAACATACAAGTTGAATGAATGTGTGTTGCTTGGTTCTATATATCAGGACTCTGAATTAAGATTTCACAAGCAACTTCTTCTTTGGAGTAGTTCCCTCTGAATATGTGTTGAGTGTTCTTTTAACATGACATGTTGATGTCATGGAAGCTCAATCTATTTATAAATAATTGTGTTAACACTTGGGGTTATAACTTCAGTACAAGACTATTTTCCAGAAATTATAGTGCATTATTGTTGTGGAAAAACCTGTAACACTTTTCTTATCTTTAGCTGGTCTTCTCTGTGGAAAAGTCCTTGACCAAAAGAAGGCTCTGGAAACCTGCTGAGGAGGAGGTCTCGGACAGAGCAGCTCTTCAGATTTGTTCTGCTACAAAAAAGTATCCTTTATGAGCAAGCTTGATTGATTGAGGCTGCTACCCTCAACCTCTTTTCTGGAATTATTTCTGGATAAATGATAAATTTGGAGAAAACAGTTGAGTTCAGCTAGGCATAAATCAGTAAGTTGAAATAATGAGATTTTCTGATTAGCCATGAGTAAAACTGTTGACCTTCTTACCCCTGCAAAATTTCTGTCATTTCTTACTGTGAGGTTTATCTGTGTTCTGGCATCAAATTGTGCCTTCCCCAGTCAGTTTTGGTTTGCATGAATTGGAGAAAATATCTGAAATACTGCATAGCTTCTTAAGCTTGCTGTTAACAGTGATGCTTCTGTGGAAGTGTTGAGACAGCAGTCATGTAGGATCTGCCCTGGCGCTGCAGAAGGATGGTGAGTCTGTTGATAATGAAGTAATACGAGGAGAGGAAAGATTTTTTTTTTTTTTTTCTTGGGGGAGATTAGGACAAATTGCAAATTGGTGCCCCTGTAGTTTTCCCTGTGAATCCCTGTTGATCTTGATGTGTTTGTAAGAGATGGGACAGCAGCACTATGGTAGTTGGAGTTTACAGTCAAATGTTTTTCCACTTGTTTACACTTAGGAGAAGTGAGAACTTCAGAGCGTCAGTTAGCTCAGCAGAGAAGTTTAGTAAAGGACAAAGTCGATGGCAAATTTTTTGTACTCAGTTCTTTGCTTTTCACTGGATCTTTTTCTTTAAGTAGCAAAGAGTAGTTTGCCGAACCTATGATGTACAAGATCCCAAGGTAAGCTTGTCATCTAATATGTCATGTACAGCTTTTAATGCATGACAAGTAATGTTTCAAAAAAAAATTATAGTCTGTTTGAGTGAAGTGCTTTGTATTGATGCTTTGTCACTTTCTTCTGCTCTCAGAGTTCAGCTAAACCAGCAGATTGGAAATACCAGAGTGCTCTGTCTGCTTCCTGGTTAGCTTTGGGCTGCACAGTAAATGTTAATATTCACATTCCGCTTCTTGCTACTTCACCAAACCATGACTTGGAGAAGAACACCAAGGTAACTAGCTGGTAACTAATTGGTTTTGTAGTCGGTCTCTCCACTACTTTTTTGATTGAAAATTAAATGAGAAGGATTTGCATAGTGTGAGTAGACCTCTAGGACTTCTCACCAGAGAATGTTTGGCAGTAATTCCTCTTTTAAGTGTAATGTGCAGTCGTTGTGAGGAATTCATAGTGTAAAAAATGTGGATAGTTGTGCTTAGTGTTGGCAGATTCCTTTGCTCAAAACTACTTTGCAGTTGTCCTAAGCATTCCAACTAAAGTCTCTTCTACATCCAGTTAGAGTAGGGGTACTGTATGGAGTGCTTATAGTGTGAATTGGCCTCTACAAAAGTTAGTTCCCTTCAGTATTTTGAAATGCTTTGTTCTTAGTGGATGTATTCTCAGTGTGTTGGGTATACCACTTAACTTTGGAAAACATGTAGATTTTTCAGTGACTTTAAACGTGTCTTGGAGTTAACGGTTGAAACATGTATTTCTAGAATTTTCAGCATGGCACCGTCCAGCTCTTCTAGTGAAATTCTCTTTCCTCTTATGAGATTTTTGTGTTCTTGCTTTTTTAAAGAATGGGTTAAATCGGTGGTCAAAGCAGATAGAAGACAGTGTTTTCCTGATCAATGGACAAGTTAAAGATGATGACACAGAACTACTGGAAGGGCAGGTGAGTACTGGAAAACAAGAAATTGAATGCTAACAGGTGCATTGTTAGAACCTCCAGTCTGATAAATCATTGACCAAGGCCTCTTCTATATAATATTTGTTGGTCTAGTTGGCCTGTTTCAGTAACTAACATGCAGGGCTCCTTGTGTTTCCTGTCCTCATAGCTGTGTGTCACCTCTCCTTCCTCTGGCAAAGCAAATGCAGTAATATGTGAAGTCTGACGAATTTTTTTTTCTATATGCTGTCTCCTCATTAAAGAACATGAGTAAGGTGTCAGTTATGTCTGAATGTTTAACTAGGAGTGGAACCACTTCATTCAGCTGATGCATTCATCTCTTTAGTTTAGTAACTATATTCTCATGGCTGTTTCTATGTGCTGTTTTTCTCTTTTAAAAGCTATAAACCAGGGCACATTTTGTACTGTAGTGGGGAGGCTTTCATTCAGGGAGATTTTTCTTTTTTCTCGTTTCATGACACACAGAATTTTCTTTCTTTTTTCCCCTCAGAAAAAGTTAAGAGGAAATACTCAGTCCAGCACTCAATTTTCTGATGTCAAGATTCTGACACAGCTGGTAAGTATTTAGTGGTTCCTTAAGTATAGCCTTGCTGTTATTAAGTAGAATAAAAAATAAAATAGCATTCCAAATTACTGTCTAGAAATCCAGCTTGCTTTTAGAAATGTGTAAGATACCATTTTAAAGTCTTACTGAGTATCTCTGCTTCTTTTGTTCTTACATTGTTCCAATGGTTAGTTGCCTTGGAGCAAGCAAAGCTTTTTATTTTGGCCATGACAGTTTATGCAGCTGATGTGGAAGTTCTGTGTCCCTGTGTTTCCAGGTGTTGTCTTGAGTGTGCTTCATGCAGAACACTCATTGTTTTGGTAATTAGGGCAAATGTTTCGTGGCAGCAGTTTGATAGTGTTCTAAATGTGACCACGCTCATAATTTGGTACTGACTGATGGATGGGATGACTCAGGATACTGCAGGTTGTGCTTGATGGAGAGTACAAATGCAAACTTCGTAGTTAAAGATTTCTGGATTGCTGTTAGCCACAAGCCACTTGCCTAAAAAGTTGTACAAGTCTTATAGTCACAAATATTTATATTGCAAGATATGGAAGGTCTGGAAAATTAAATATATTTTCTATAATGGAAAATAAGAGATATTTTTGGTCTTAATTTACTCCTGCTGCACATGCCTCCCTAACAAGATAACACTGAAATATGTTTATTTTGCAGTCCCACGGTTCAAGTCACAGATCAACAGCTACAGTCCAGGTCTGCAGGGGTTCCATCAATCTCAAAGGTGCCGTGAAATGCAGAGCCTACATACATAACAACAGGCCGAAAGTTAAAGAAGCTATTCAGGTAGTAAAAGGGTGATTAATTCACCAGAAACATTTCTCTGAAATACATGAAATTTATCTTACCATTTTGTCTTTGGCAAAATGACACGGTCTAAACTAGTATCAAGATGTTCATCCCCTTGAACATACAGATTTTTTTGGAAACCACCTGCGTGTGTGGTGGATTTAGTTCTTCTTTCATTTTCAGCAGGTATGTCACCTGTTGCTGAGGTTGTACTCTGATGAGTCTTTGCACAAACTGTTGAGGTGATTAGGCTGTGGTAAACCGTAAAAAGAAGAGGTTACATATTTTTGTGTGTGTAGAAGGAAAATACAGCTTTGTCTGCACAGTGGTTTATTTCTTTTTCCCCGTTATTGAGTCAGTCTTGTAATTATTTTTGTTCAGTTTTGATAGTAATCATAGAATCATAGAATGTGTTGGGCTGTAAGGGAATTTTAAAGGTCCTCTAGTCCAGCCCCCCTGCCAGTGAGCAGGGACAAATGTCTAGAAGCTGTTAGTTCTTATTCTAACAATACTAACATTTTCCTCAGCTTTTCATTTTTGTTGTTTTCTATTTTGATTTTAGTTATTTTGATGTTAGGTTTTCTTTTCTTTGACTCATAAAAATTCTGTTCAGACTTTATATTTTCTGGAAAAACTATTCTTTCAACACAGGTTAAACCCAATGAGGGACTCTTTTTGTTGTTTATCAGGAGTCAGAAGTGTTGCAATGGGGTTTTCTATTACTGATACTGTTTCTATTACTGTCCTTGCAGGCTTTGAAAAGAGACATAATAAACACATTGAGTGATCGTTGTGAAATACTATTTGAAGATCTCATTATAAATGAAGGACCTCACAAAAAAAGTAGGAATCCAAAGAAAAAACAGCTTTCATGTGCAGTGAATTTTAGCTTTTGTAGAAAATTATGCTGGGATACTGAAGTTCTGGTTTGATTAGAGTAGAATAAAAGGCCAATACCAAGTTTTTTTTGGCAGCCTTGACTTTTTCTTAAATTGTGAGAATTTTTGTATGCTCTCTGGCATCACGGTTTTGTCACAAAGTTGATGTTCAGTTCTCATGACTACAAAATGCAACTTCAGCTTCTTTCTTCATACTTTTTAAAGATTTGCTGAATTTCTAACTCACACATTTTTATTTTTTTTTAATAAAATCACAGTATGACATTTGTATTGAATCTGATGAAATTTGGTAGGATTAAAAGAACCAGCTGGACATGGCTTTTCATTGTCTTGCATCACCTATGTTTTGAATGCTAATGGATATGAACCCTGAAGTTCAATAGTTAGTTAAATTAATATGGCATTTTGTGGGGTGATTATGATGTATCCTGAGGATTTCTTGTCTACCTACCTGTAGGAATATATCCTTTGGATTGTCTCTGCCCCCCTGGACTTTTTTGTCATGATACGCTATTTTACAGGTGTTGCATCTTTTAAAGAAGGAGATCTTATTTCAGCGCCAACTGCTGGCTTACTTTAACTTTAATTTAACAGATTAGCATGCAGTGGTCAGAACATGATGCAAGTTGATCTAATGAAAACAATTTTTTGTTGTGATTATACTAAAAACTAAGGGGGGATATGCTGGGACCAGATGATCTCACTCATGCTGGGTGATTCCTTAAACTTCTCTGCGTCAGTGCAGTGGCATCAAGTTACCTTCTTGTTCTTGTGAGGTTTTTTTGCTAGTTAATTTAATTTAATTTTTAGTATTGCTAGTTAACTTAAATACCAATTTTTAGATCTTACATAAATGGAAGCCTGTTAAAAACCACTAACTTTGGCAGAGATTTTAGGAAGAAAAAAATAGAAATCGAAACAGGTTGATTGTGTGAGGAGGGTGATTCATGTCCAAGAGCTACCGTTTATTTGGGAATAGACAGTCAAGTTTTGGTGGTAGCCAGCCTTTACCCAGCCTGCACGATTTACTTTTTCAGCTGCATGCAGTTCTCCATTTGGTCTGTAGGTGGCACCCGCACTTTGTGGTTTTATGGCATAAAGCCGCTACGCGGTTGCAATCCTTTGGGGTGTTGAAATCTCGCTGGCCAGTACACACTCTTGTCTGCAGTTCTTTTACTAGCCACTTGAAACATGAAAAGTCTGTTTAGCGTTTTCTGGTCTGATCTGGAGGTCGCTGGGGTATTTCTGCAGAGACTTTTACATGGAAACCTTGAGCAGTTCTTTTGCAACAGCTTTATCTTGCAGTCAGAGATTAGTGAGGAATCTTATCAGAACTGGCAAGGTTTTTATTTGCATGGTATTCCCCCCCGCCTTTTCTTGCAGATTTTCAGAGGGAATATCATATCTTACCTCAAAGACTGTTTGTCCCAGTTTCTGGATCCAGTGTGATGCTCAGTGATTATAAGTTTGGTGATGAGGCCGCTGGAGAAATTCAGGAACGTTTTGTTGAGATGTTGGATCAGTGTGTGCAAGCTGAGGATATCCACATAGCAGAGGAGATGAACACAGGTAAATAGAATATCCGAGCACCAGGACAGGCCGCATCACAGATTGCGAAAATGCTGGCTAATAATGACCCAGGCCAATTTTATCCAGATACAGATATGCTTAAAGTTGGCTTATTTCGTATCAGTTCTGAAGGCTGATATCTGTTTAAATGTATTTGTGAAAAGTGAGAAGAGTTCTTGCAGTTTTTGCATTTGGCTTGTAACAGCTCTGTCTTCTCTTGGATATTTTGCTTATTCACAGCGTTCTCTGTGCAGCCACAGCCTACAGTAAATTATGTGGTTGATCATGGTTTGCATGTGTTACCCTGCACATTGAGGGTGATCCTATACTGACAAACTGTCTCTAAGAAAAACCTGTAAAGCTTTATATTTCGGTTTCTTTTTTTAGCAGTTCAGCTTTGCTGGTTTAAGAGCTGAGTAGTTCTGATACTGCTTAGAATAAGTTGGAATAAGAAGTTGAGAGCTTTAGTCAGATCTACTGGGGTTTTTATTAATATTGAAAAACACATATATGGTCTAGTGTGTCTTTCAGGAGGATCTCATGCTAAAACCTGACTCTTTCAAAAATACAAAGCATCTTTCTTTAAGTGTTTTAGTTTAATACAGTGTATAAAACTGAAGTTTTGTCATTCACTCAAAATGGAAAGAAAACTGAGAGAGCTTTTCTACTGAATGGCTTACGTGTTTGTGATGTGATTAAGAGACTGTTACATTCTTTTTAATACAGATATTTTGCTGTAGTCTAGTTACTGCAATTCTTTTTTCTGGTTTATATAATTTACTATTGTATTTTGTGAGGTTTTCTTCCCCATACAACTTTGATTTCAATGTCGGAGTCAAATCTGCAGTTTAAATGTGATGTTACAGAAGGGATTTCTTTTTCCCCCAATCAATGTTAATATGAGCTGCAGGTTACAGTTTTAATTTTGTAATTTTTTTTTAAATAACTCTAGTTTTCAGATAAGAAGTTTGGATGCTTTTTGATGTTGGTATTTAGGGACAAACAAAATGGACAATGTTGCCACGAGCTTGCTATATCGGGTGGACTGTGATTACTGATAATTCTATTTGACCTACTTGTTCATTTTGAGTTTTCTTGAGTTGCTTTTCAGAGCTAACTGTAAATTATTATGTCTTTCTAAATCAGTTTTCCAGGTTTTAACTAAACATTTCAGCAGGGAATCTGACCCATTATCCTGAGAAGTAAAAGATGTACACAGCTCGAGAAAAACAGGAAAAGCGGCAAAAAAAACTCTTGCTAAGAGCAACTTCAATAATCTTGAAGCTAGTTATTACTGAGCTTTAAGGAATTAGTTGAACTTAGGGAAGGAAATTAATGTTATTGTAACAGTGGAGATTGGCGTGGGAGGGAGAGAGGGGATGATTCGGCTGAGCTTTGCTGATTATATAAGGGCATATGATCTGGAGGTAGGAAGGAAATGGGATTAGACCAACAGCAGTGCCTCACAGAGATTTGATGCCATTGATATGTGTAAAATGATGTCCAAGTAGCTCACAAAATGCATTTGTGTTCTTGTAGCTTGCTGGTTATAGAGTTAGGAGTGTGTAGCTGAGGAAAGGAAAAGAACCTAAAAGTGGATTTTGGAAAAACCCTGAGAGACTAGCATTGTCCCAGTGGACACCATAAAGTTTATCTGTAGAGTGTGTTCTGTTAACAGTGATGATAGCGATAATGCTATGAACACGGTGCTCTTTGAGCCTGACTATTGTTATGGTATTATTGACTTATTTATACACTCTTATTAGCACCCAGAAGGCTGTTTTAGAAATTAGAATAATTGTGTGAGAAGTGTGTTCTGCTTTGTAAAGAAAAGCATTAATTTTACACCTTGATTTTTATTGGTACTTCGGCAAAGAAGAGTCCTAAGTATTGCTGTAAGCATGTTTTAGTGACATAATGGGAGTTTGGAGTTTCCCTTGTGTAAAAGCTTTTTCAAACCATCTTTCCAATTTGAGTAGCAGTTGTTGCTTCTCAAAGCGTAACACTGTCGTTATAATGATCGGTATTCAGTAATGGTGTAAAAATTGTTTTGTAGTGGATTTTTACATCAACCTTTCTTTTTATATCCTGATTCCTGTGGGTTTAGGCACCGACCTTGAATTAGCTGGAAATGCTGTCCATGGTGAAGTTCTGGGGAAAGTTTACTGATTAAAAAAATTGTTTAGAATTCAAGAACATGAACAGGCTTTTGAAATAATTGCCTTTTTTAAATGTGTTGTTCTTTTAAAATATGCATTTGAGAAGGATCTAATCAGTATAGCCAAAAGATTTCTTTTTCAAGCAGCTTTAAGTCAAAACATATGAAATAAAGGTATCTTGAGAAGGTCAGTTGTATGGCCTTACTTGGTATGGTCTCTGCTGCTGTCTCCTACAGTTTTATTATCTTGATTCCTTGTACAGGTCTCCAGTGAGGTCACTACTGGATCAGGCTTTAGAATTGTTACATGGAAAATAGAAAGTAAAACAAAAATAGAAAGTAAAAAAAAAATTAAATTGAAAAATATAAGTGACTCTAACACTGTAATTTCAAGGTGTGTAGTGCTTTAATGCAAGCTCTGTATTTATGATTAGCTTTACTAAATCCCTGCTCCTCCTTGATGCAGGAGGTGGGGCTAGTGTGTTAAATACCCTGAGTAGATAAACGTTAATAAGACTTCAGTAGTGGTAATCACTTCCCCATCTTTGTTAGCAAATTGAAGAATTAAAACAAAGTTAAGGATTCGTATAATTGGTACTAGAGAGCATCTGCTTTTGAAAACTGTGATTTGTACTAGAGCTGTGTCACATACAAGTCCTTCCATAACTTAAGGACATAAATGCCTTTGGTAACTAAATAGCTCAATGGGATTTCTTTTTACTTTTTTCCCTCTTTTTTTAAAGTTTTTCTCACCTCTGAGCAAGTGAGAATGGCTGCTTTGATGTGCAGCTTCAAAAGTTACCTTCAGAGAAGTGCAACAGTTTGTATGATGGTGCAAGAAACATAGAGGGAACAAACTATGCTGCTCACTGTTGAAACTAAAGCAGCAAGAAACCTGCTGGATCTAGGCTTCAGAGGTGACCCAAGAATTGCAGTCAGCTTTTGTAGAAGTGATATTTTAGGGAATTGAGAATTCTTTAGTAGTTTGGAGAGAATATCATGCTCTTATTTTGCCAGTTAAGATTCTTACTAAAAAAGGTATCTTGCAACAGTTAATTCATTCACTCTACTTGAAGATTTCTGCTCATATTTTAGGCTCATGGTGGGGTGGGTTTGTTGTTTGTTTTTTTTTTCACAGATAAAAAAAATGATGAAACTATGGCCTTCTTTTGGACCAGTGGGCTTCAGAGATATCTGATCATTTCCAAAAAGCACCCTTTGCATTGAAATGTTGTGTCCTTATTTTTATTTTACATGTATGTGCAGCCTGCAGACACATCTCAAAGCAATGTTAATATTTAATGTATGCATGTGTATTTGTGTATGTATCTATATATCTTGCTGTCCTTTAAAATTTTTAAATATTAGTTGCTCCGTTGTAGGACCTCCTATAAAAATTCAGTGGGTTTGGGGATAAAAATTACTAAAGACGGGTTCTAAATGTCTGTTTAAGTGCTTCTGGCTAACAACAGATTTTGTGCAAGTTTGACTTCAAAAATTTTTAAGACAATCATGCACATGACTCATCTCAGGTGACAGTAACAACCTTTCTGATCACATATCTAGATCATACATTTTTCCTATAGCTAATGATGTGATAGAGGACGTACTTTTCTGTGAGTCATCTTCATATGAATCGTACAGGGACATGCCTTACCACTCCACTGTAGAATTGGTAATTTATATGTGATTGAGAATGCCACTCTGGAAATGGGAGATCTGGTTTTATTTAGGTCAGTATCTGACAAGAACAGTCTATTAGGCCTTGTCCTTATCTTGACGTGCCCATTCTGTTCTTTCTGAAGACATCTGGATCACACTGCAATAGCACAAATGCTTTCTCTTACTGTTTATTTGCCTGGAGATGTCTGCAGCAGTAGTAGCTACCGAATTGTAATCAGAACTTTTCACAAGCGGTGCCTTAGCAAATGGTCCTGGAAACAGAAATGCAAATCAAAGACCGTTGGCTCACCACCATCAAGTAGCCTTATCACTGAACTGCATAGTCTAAAGCATGCTTGTTCTGCATTGGACAAGTGAACAAGTTCATCTAGAGGACTCAAGATTAATCCCTTTCTTTCTCTCCTCCCACTTGCTAACAAGCTGGATATAGCCAAGCGATTAGGGAGATCTTTGGAAAGGGAGTAGTTATGGGTTTGAATCCCATCAGTCTGCAAGTAGTCAAGCTCTCTCAAATCCTGGCTGAGCGATCTAAGGATTTAGTAATTGTTCCAAAGGCAAATGTGTCCTCTGTGCTTGCTCTGAAAGCGTCAGAAAGGAGTTTCTGTGCTTTGGAAAAAAAAAAATAAAAAGGCATTTATGACTATTGGGTAGGGAAATGATTCTGGGTTCACTTTTGTAGTGACAGTGAGTTTTGCGTGTAGCCTGAACTCTGGATACATGGCTTTGAAGGGAAAGCTTTGATCCTGGAGGATGGTTAATGGTTCATTTTAGGGATTCCCCTCTCAGAGTGGTCAGATTCTCACTGGGTTGCGTGAGGTGGTTGGATATGTTACTCTGAAAGCAGGGTATGGAAAATAAATTTTGGAAGAGGAACTCCTTCCCAGTGTATTTTTCCTCTTTATGTTTACTCTTCTAGCTGTAGTTCTCTATAGTTTAGTACTATGCTGTTGCTACTGCAATAAACTATTTTTTCTACCATCAATGTCCTTGATAAAGTTGATATGTAGTTCTTGGTCTTTTGCATTAATTTAATTGTAAAACACAACTGCTAGCTTTTCACCTGGTATTTACCTCTTGAATTGATTTCTATGCAGTTGATATTTGTCCAGTTGCTGACAACGTGGATGAAACACACCAGAAACAACTGACAAAAGCAACATTGCTGTTGAAACTTCAACAAAATATGGGTACGTTACTTCCTGGATTTTTGCTATAGCAATTGAGAAGTTATAATGGACCCTTTCAGTCCTGTTTGCTTCTGCTGCATTATTAGTAACTGGTGAGATTAATACAATACTTTTCAGGTCAATACAAAAGAAGAAAGGTTCATGTTGTTTACTTTCTCTTTTGGAGAGCCACCACTTCTATAATTCTGTACTTTAAAAAGAAAACACAACAAAACCAAACACAATTGAAGAGCTTTGTCAACTAGGCATCACTCACTAATCTTCTTCTGAAGCTGACATACTTGGCTTGGGTACTAATTGTCAGCCTCAGCAATTCAAGGGAACATGAGCCACAGAACTCATCTTTCAAGTACTTCTCTATGGTACTCCTTTGTCCGGCTCTTAAATATCTGTCTGCGCTTACTGCGGTTCTCTGTGCTGCAAGTTTCAGCTGTCTTTTTGTACTAAAATACATTTACACGTTAGTCAGTTGAACAGTGGCTTATTTTCTATTCTTAAAAGTAGAACGTGGTGATTGGAAGATTAAAGGGTAGTAGCAATAAATGTATTTTACCTTGGATGTAAAAATGTTTTCCCTTGAATCATCACTCACGTATTTTTTGGAGTTTTTTTTTGTTTTCTCCTCAAGTGCAGCAGTCACAAGCACGTTAATCAATACACCAATGACTTGTGTGCTATCAAGAGTCTTACAGAGTAGATACAGTGAAACACAAAAAACTTAATAGCTTTTGCTTCTTAAATCTTAAAATTTGTGTTGTTTTTACTAGTCTGATTCCTGGGATTAAGTGGTGGTGCAAAGTCAGCGTGTTGTTTATGGGCTAGGGCATGGCCAAGGTACTAGAGAAGTATGTGGTCTGCTGGATTGCTGGAAGGATCCTGCTCTCGATTAGGAGTGTCATGTGGAGCTTTTATAATTCAGTTACTTGACATTGTTGCTTTAGTTCTTGACTTAGCAGTGGTAGACCATGTTTTGGGGTGGCTCTTCTTGTTTCTCCTCCTACCTGTTATTCATCCTTGATCCTGCCCTCCTCACCTCAGCTGCTGCTGACTGCGCTGCCCTTCCTGCTCACTAACCACGTTTCCTTTGTTATTTCAGGTGTGGTCATAGCAGCTGCTGTTGCGATCTTTGCATCGATCTTCTCTTTTAATTACTTCAGTGACTGAACTCAAGCAGCTGGAGCTTCATGGAAGTATTGGCCCTTTGCAAGATGGAAACATCAGAGTTTAATATATTAGTAATTAAGAATTGCTGCCTGAATATCACCAGTTAGATGTGCAATATAAATTATGATGATAGGTTCAGTTACCTTGTTCCAGCATCCACTGACTGTGTCAAGTAGAATCATGTGGTTCCATTATCAAGTAGAAGGTCAATCAGATTTACAAGAAATGAAGCCTGTTGCTCTGTATAAATTAATTATAGCAATACTTTTTAGAAAGATCCTTGAAAGAAATGTAGAACCTTTGTTTTCTTCCTTCTTGCAATTTTAATGCAAAAATACTACTCCTGGTGTTGTTCAGGCTATTGGTAAGACTCACATAGTTACCTGGTATGGCAATTCTTGCTTTAAGTATTCTTTTGCTAAGAGAAATCTCATTTCATTCACGTTAGTTGGGGAAAAAATTAGATTTAATGGTGCTGGTATTTCACCATATGCATTACTTTAGATAATATCGGTTAACTAGCATGATAAATATACAAATAGTTTCTAGTAGTTTCAAGACCAGATCAATTCAGCCTGTTGAAGACCTGGAAAATTCAGAAATCAATAAAAGGCATAGAACTTCTGGGATGCGCATATGCTGCCTTCTGCTCAGTGACTCTCAATGAGGATTTCTCTGTCCAGCTCCGATTTAGTCATCACTATTTTGGAATATTAACTATTAGTGACAGCTACACATAGGCAGCCCTCGTGGATTATCTCATAGGTATGTGCAAATTGTTAAAATTGTTTCCTAATCAGGATTTTTAGACTATGAACAGGTAGCTTTCCGTTGTGAGATATTCTCCTGTGTATGCTAGGTGATAACATTATTGTTTATTTGCCATGAGGAAAGCAGAAGAGGGAAGAATTCTAGTAAGGTTAATAAAGGTAATTCATACATGAAATGTGCTGTTTACGTGGATCTGAACCACAACAGAAAAGGATTCCAGCTTTTGGGGTGCTTTAATACCACTGCAAACTTCTTTTTTTGTATAAAGGTACTGGCACACTAAGAAAAAACACAAACGGTTTGGTTCCGAAGGATGTACTGGGATACTTTTAATAAAAGACAACTATAAGAAAGGTGTCTTAAATACCCTCACCTCATCAGTATTTTCTGTTTGTACATTTTAGAAAATGAGCTCCTCTTAGAATTGTACCTAATTTTGGAAGATGGTGTTGATCTTTTGTGCTCGGTATCGCTCTAGTAGGGCCTCCCTGAGGAAGGTGACTGTAGTAACAAAGGCCCTGCTTGCAGCTGCTCTGTATTTAATATATGTGTTATTCTGTGCAAATGCATGGGATTAATAGGCACAATGGTGTTATGCTGGAGCATTTGAGTCCAGGGGAGCTGGGAGTGCTCTCCAGAACATGAGATGAATTTTGCAATGTCTTTCAGGATATGCATGGTTTAAAAATCGCTCTGCTAAATTCTCTCTTAGAAGGAAGAGCAGAGGAGTAAGGAAATAGAGGTTTGTTTTCTGTCTTTCTATTTATTTTTTTTTTGGTGGGGGCGTATATTCTCTGAGGTAAAATACAAAATGGTTATTCTGTAGTTGCCTGTTACTCAAAACTGGGCCATAGAAGTGAAGTGCAACATTTCAGATTTCATACCACAGAGAATGAAATGGTCACAAAACACTCTTCCAGTAGTTCTTCTCATGTAGCACCTGTGGTGTAAAAAGTAGAGCTTGTTTGGAGATGTTATTCCATGGATCCCCTAGAAAAGGATTTTTTTTTTTCTTCCTCTCCCCACAGCCTTATTCAGTGTTTAGTAAATGATCCATTTCTTTATGGTGTTACTACAGAGAATCAAATTAATCCTTCAGTTTCTAACTAACTAAGTATCAAGGATGTGTGGAAGTTTAATTTTTTAAGATTGGAAGAAGGCAAAGAAAGATATTGCTTTGGATGAGATTTCTGCCTTAATACAGGGGACTGTATTTAACTACCATCTATGCCATAAGAAAATAATTTAACCCTGTTGGAGAAAAAAATAATTTAACTTGTATCTATGAATTGATCCTTCCCTTTACTCTGCCGTGAGGAAATAGTGGATGCAAAAGCAAGCAGGTTCTTGCTTGTCAGAATTGCAGAACTAACTAGGAGAGGATTTCTTTATCATCTTGCATCCCATCCTTTTTGTACTGTTAACCATTATTATCATGTGCAAATGAGTTCTTTAAGAAAAACAAATAGGTGTGTGTAAGGAGAAAAAGGAAAGCAAACTTTTCACAGCCTGTTTCTTGTCTACTGCTTAAGTTGTGCTCAGGTTTTAATATAGGTTTATCCTTTTCTTGCTAGCTATATAATCTTCCAAAGTTTTCAGATTGTGAAAATTCCATCGTGACTGGAACTGAGCTTTGTTAACTCACACCCTTGACATCAGGTATATTTTATTCTATGTATTCATAAGAGTCCAAAGGGATGGTTGGAAGTTCCATCTGGCTCTTCTAAGTGCAGTTCTAAAATTGATATTACAGAATAACTTGGCAGAAACCGTATCTTCTGTGCTATGTTGGTTTAAAATGTGGTTTTAAAAAGCCTTGGTGGTCTTATACCTTGAGGTTTATAATGCCTCACCTGTGAAGGGCAGCATTCGGCAGGCAATAACAGGCTGCATCTGCTTGAGCTTTTTTTCTTCTCGGTTTGATCAGCAGTGACACCAATGGTGACAAGTTCCCCCCTCTCCTCCGTTTTTGCCTGCATCAGAATACTTGAGGACACTCATGGTCTCTATGACTGAGTCAAAAGGGTGAGTTACTGTAGCCAAGGGTGGCAGGAAGGCTGCTCCTGTGTGTTCATTGAAGCATTTACTTATTCAAGAATCTTTCTACAGTAGCATGGTGTTTGAGTCAAGTCTTACTTTTTGTTTTCAAGACTTTTTTTTTTTTTTTGCAGAAGTATAAATGACTGCTATGATCAGAGCTTTATTGCAGGTTTATTAGTCATGAGTTTCTGTTGAGGCTTAGCATAATATGTGTTTCTTTTTTTAATTACATGTTGATGGAAATCCTGCTTAAGTATGCTTAAACTGTCTTTGGAGTTGGGATGTCAGCTTACTTCTTACAACTAGATATAAATGTTGTTTCTGTGATAGGTATTGTCAGGGGCTTTTTGGTTTCAGTCTGGTTTCTCAAAGTGAAGCTTGCCTGATGAGGTTGCTGATGTGCAGCCTAATAACTTTTAAACATACTTTGATAAACAGGGAAATTTCTCAATAATGTTGAGGTCCTACCAGTTACGTGGAGATTTTCTGATGTGTAGAAGACAGAAATTTTTCATGCCTCTGTAAAACATCTCATCAAAAAAGAAAGACAGATGCCGTCCTGCTACTTAGGTAACTGGTTATTTTTATGACAGAAGATAATTCATTATTTTCTACATAACCTGTTATCAGTTTTTCATAGTGTTAGGTATATCTGCAAATAGTAACTTTCTGGAGAGTCAACCTACTGACGCAGATGAAATAAGACAAAGGTGATTTTAGCTGAGGGTGAAATGTCATCCTCGAGTAAGTGGAGAAAGGACTGTTCTAAGGGAAAAACCTTGATTCCGCCTGGAGTTCCATCAGAAAACTTATGCCAGTCGTGCATTTAGAAATTTCCAACATGGAGATCATAACATTTTGGAGAGATGCTATTTGAATTCTTGGTGGAATAAAATCATGAATTGCTTTACAGGTTAAAGACTATACATATTTAAGAGATAAGGAACTTGCTTAGTGTACATGAGATACGCTTTCTAGTGCTCTGTTAAAAATATTAATCCATGGCAAAACAACTTTTAAAAGTCAAGATTCAGCAGCATTTTGATTGTCCTTAAAATTGGATGAACTAAAGTCTTTTTTTTGCCATTAAAACAAGCTATAAACACAAGTTGTGTTTAAATTGTTTTGTTTGAAAGGGTACCCCATGGCTCTTCGGTAATGTTTTGCAGAGTTATGTTTCCCAAATATTTTTGAGTAGAAATATATTGTTGTGCAGTTCTGGTGGAAAGTAGAGTAACTTCCAGTTACTCCTGAAAATTTTCCATATGAGTGAAAAGTGGAGAAAAAAGTGTTTAAAAGAGTGCTAAGAACCTGCTTATGTGTGAGCTATGTCACTGCAGAAATGATTCTTAGCTGCAAAATTCTGAATTCTTTCTGATCCATGTGCAGAATTTTGATACCAGTTTCTGCGGTGGCGGCCTGATCAGAAGCAAAATTGAAAACTCCCACTCCAAAGTGAGCAAAACATGCAGCTGTCAAATCAAAGCTGGTGAGTCATATGACTACTAAAGATAATTTTAACATTTTGATAATCTCAAATGTTTTCAGTAAAATTGTGTAGTTAAGATATAGACACTTCTGTCCTCTTAGCAAGATACGGATATTTCTATCCTCAGCGTAAAATTCAGCCTTCAGCTATGCAAGTGTGCAAAAGAGTAACTGAAATATTTCTAACGTTTTGTTGTCTCGTATCAGAACTTTAAGGAGGTGGATTTTTTTTAGACCTAGAGAAGAAGGTTTATAGTGACTTTACTCTGTGTCTTCCTCTCAAGCTGATTGTGAAATTTTAGTTCTCGGCAGCATCCCTTTAGCAAAACTTAAAATGTGGAGTTTAGTAAATGTCTAATGTGTGGTTACTAATATTTTGTGTGTTTTTAAGGTTAGAGTTATGTACTGTCAATATATTTCACACTTCCATTGGCAGGTTTTAAAAGCTGTTAAGCTTTATTCAGAGTTATTACATAAGTACAATACACTTTTTTCAGCAACTTGCAGACATTTCAAATATTACTAGTCAAAATATGGAGCAACAGTGAACTAAAATTACCTGATAATGTGTCTGTGTTAGCTGTTTGGCTGACGAACTTACAGAAACTGAACTAACATCTGTCTCTGTTAATACTTCCGCACTTAACTTTCAATATTAAAATAATGTCCTGAATGTCTGTGCCATTTAGGAATGCAAGGGCTTTGGGCTATTTATTTGTCCTTAAAACCGTTGCATGAGAACTTGCTCCTACTGAAGTCGCTAGAAGTAAATTTGAGGAGCCAGGACTTGCCATAATTCCAGA